CACGTACGTGACCGTGGTCATGGTTAGGTGCGTGTGTATATGTGTGTGAGTGTGTGAGTGTGACTGCGCGTGTTCGTTTAGGGAACAGGCTGCAACGTTGACTAGGTACAACCTTTCCCTAATGCATGTGGCCTAGGGAAAAGGTCAGATGCCTCTAGGGTTGAAAGACCTTGGTTCTCCTATGGGAACGTCAAGGTCTCTGACCCTTAATCGTGGGTTCAATCAAGAGTCAAGGCTAGCTCCAAATTTTTGGACTGTGGGCTAACCTGCTGCCCACAGTCCTCAACTAGCTATAAAAGGCAGCAACTCTCACACTTGCCTCACAAATGTTGAGGCTGTGATGTTGCTCACTTGCACTTCAAGTGTAGATTCAGCTTCATCACACTGTGAGGGATGATGCTGCTGGTGGAGGTCTGCATGAATATAGAGAGTGGAAGAAGGGCATCCATAGCCAGAGGCAGGGAGCTCACTACCCCATCCTTGCATTGATCATGGTGCTGCCGCCGGTAGACTGCGTCAGAGTCTGGTTGTGTGGCAAGCAACACACGTCGAGGAGGTGTTGTTCGTTGGGTAGCGCGACAATGGTGGCATGCTGAATGGGGACCATGTTGCGCAGACTTTTCGACATGCCATTAATATTTTGTGGGGGTATGTTGTCGGTTCTTTGGTACGACAGCTATAGGCGTTGACAAGGGGAGGCGCTGCCTGTTTGGCGGCGCGACGTTTTTTTTTAGAAGTTGCGATCGCTGTGGTACTACTATACGGCGTGCTGCCTTTTTATTTTTTATTTTTTATTAAGGATGAAAGTTCGGCAGCGACCATTTGAGTGAACTGGTGTGGCTTAGTGGTGGCAAACGTTGGTGCACGTCTGGGTCCAGATGAGAGTGTCGGTTTCGTGGAACAACGGGATATTATTTTTTTCTGCGGCGATTTTTTGGCGCATTATCGACATTTGAAGGGGGCAAAACTTTTTGATTCACTTTTAAGTGGGGAATTACTTTGGGTATGTGGTCCAACGACCTTATTTTGAGTGTGCACATTTTGTGTGGAGTTTATCAAAACTCACAGCACGTGTGGCGGAATGGTCGGTGAGATTCGGTGCACTCGTGGTTTTGCGTCAGGGGTCACCATTATTGTTTTTTAGATGCACGATGCAAGTAGTTTGACATTTTGGAATCGTTTTGTACTGCGGGCGATAGCGGTGGTCTCATCGTTGTTGTTTTTCTGTCTGTGACGGTTATGGTGAAGTCCAACATGGTCTTAAGGTTGGTCTGACATTGATGCACGTTTGGGACCGTGCAATTTGGATAGCAGACCAACTGAACTACTTAGAGTGAGTGCATGTGATGGTGGTCATTGAGGTTTGCAGCACATGCGGTTTCACCCGTGCCCACCTTTTTTTTGTGGTACACTTTGCGAGCGGTGTTGGTATTTGGAACTATCCGGTGTTGCGAGTGAGAGTGTAGGACTACCAGGACATTTTTGGACCAACTTGAGGGTCGAGATTTTGAGCATGAGTCACTTGTATTTCCCATGTTTGGGACAATATGGTGCAAACCTAGTGGTTTGAGGTGGTGTGGATCTGCGAGTTTGTTTGGGGCAGTCCTTTGAGGTTTTGGTGCGGTTGGAACTGCAGTTGAGACTGCATTGAGACTGTTTAGGGTGTTGAGCTGCATATTTTGAACTTCAAAGTCGAATATCTTATATTTGATTTAAATATTAACTGACTTTCTTGAGTGAGCCGTTTCAAACTTCACTCAAGGTCAATTGAATGACGCTGATTTCTCTTCAGACATTTGTGAACCCAAACTTGTTTGACCTTGTTCACTAAATGTTCATTGAAAAAGTAAAGGGAATGTGTTTTTGCATGTGAATGAGGAGGTCTGACTTGGGTATGAGATTGCACTAGTTTTTTTTTTATTTGTTTTTTTTTGCGTGTTGTGTTGGTAGGTAGAAGGATGCTTGAAAATGAGAGTGGGTTATGCCTATTTGAGATTGATGGAAATGATTGTTTTTGTTCTGCCTATTATCTGTTTGTTTGTTAAAAAATAATTGTTGTTATGAAAAAAGTGAATCTAATGCGCTTGGTAAAATGAATTTGATGCAACTAAAACAGATAAGGTCAAACAGACTTAGTCTTTTTCTCAAATGAACTTTTTTATCCCAAATGACCTTATCTGTCTATACTTGTCCAAATGATTTTCATTCTCTACCTCTTCTGACTCTTTTCGTCCAAGTTACCTTGAACTTAGAAAAAATGAGAGGAACTAAAATCTACTCGCGGTAGACACATTCTCTCTCTATGAAGCATCTGGGGCGGGGGCTCGTTGCTTCGGGAGCCTGCCATGTTATCTACCTAGAGTGAACCGTTCTATGCGGGGGTACTCTGCCGATTCGGTGGAGACGACCCGACTTTTGAGATCCGAGTTTTGTGCTCATGCGAGTGGGAGCAATATCCCTTACTATTTCCTAGAGGGCGGGGCATGCAACACTTCGAGTAATGCACCTGATAAAAAATCATCCATAAAACAGTCTGTCATAAAAAAAAACAAAAATGTATGGAGACGGGTGTGCGTACCTAATCTTAGGTCGGTGGTAGGGTGAAATGAACGACTTTGGCAGCGTGTCTCAAAACAGAGGCATACCGACTCCCTTGTCGGCTGCATCTAGGTTATTTTCGAAGCCAACTCCTCGTTAGTGGCTCAATATGATTTTGTTTTATTGATTTCGATCCGAGCCGGTCGGATTTTTATTTCGATCTTACGTTATTGATTTTACCATATGGTGCTCGTTTTTTTTCAGTTATCGTTCTCGCTTATGTTGAATCGTATATTGATGTATTTGAGTGCGATTATTATAACTTTTTTTTATAGTTATATGGCTAAGAGATTAAAATTAAGTTATAGGTTTCACGTTTGGTTGAGATTGTCCTAGTTGACCGGTGTTCGCTTTGTATTTAAGAGATCAATGCCCTAGGGGCGGACGACGGTTTAACCATGCGTGCCTATATTGCAGTGAAATGAGCAAACGCCCTCAACTGACCTACCTCTAAAAATTGCATCTAAAAACTTTCACACATGCCGGTGGATCAATAACTCAGTAGGGATATGCCCCTACGGGTGGTGACAACCCCTTAGGGAAGGCAAGTTGTGCCCCGCGGGAACCTATCCTATCGTAGGGGACCACGAGAAGTACGACTGGTGCACCCGGCTAGAGCGGCGAAGGGACGATGCGATCGCGCCCGTTTTGGCGGGTTGCGGGGTTATCTAGTGTTGTTCCCAAGTTGTTTTTGTTTTGTTTTGTTTAACTCCTGCATGGCATGGCTGGGAGGGCTCTCGCCTTTTGCGAAAAAGGCGGGAGTCGATGCGCTCGACAGCGGCTTGTTAACGGCTGCAACTCCTGGGGCTGGGCTGCCGTTGATTCATTAGATTGAGGGTCGTTGGGGGGCTTTATCACTTCCGGACTCCAAAAGTTGTCATGAGGGGCTCAAAACTCAGCATTTTGCTAATAGCTGCGCCTCCCTTTTCACCGTCCCGCAATCCCCTTGAGTAACAGCAGTATCTACGGCCAACTCTCTCCCGCAATCCCCTAGAGTAACAGCAGTATCTAAGGCCAACTCTCTCCCACACACCACGCGTAAGGCACTCACATTCAAATACGTGTTGGCTACCGACCAGGGGGAGCAAGTCGACTGTCTTAGCTGGTTGGCACCAGGCCAACTACCATCGCCCACGGCAGTTGACGGGTATATAACCCACTACCTCCTGAATACCACTTTCGTGGTCACCCAACTGAGCCATCGGTAGGCCGCCCGCTCGGCCCGTGGTAATTCTCCCTCTCCCTCTTCTTTTTGTTCTCTCTCCCTTCGGCTTTTAGGGAAGCTATGGAAAACGAAGATCAGACCCACACGTAGGGACGCTGGACCCGCTTTCCAGCAGGTGCTGCTGCCCACCAATAGATGGACCCTCCGGGGAAATGCTACCGTGGTGCCTGCTCTTACCAGCACCTCTACCGGGGGGGTAGGATCCTCCCGGGTTGTTTGTCCAAACCGAGGCCAACCGAGGCCTTCAGATACTGAACCAGGAATACCGCATGTCCGGACTGGTCCAGCGGGCGGGTGGGTGCACCGAATTTTCGGCTGAATCGCGACGCCAAAGTGAAGTTTGCCTCTTGGGGATCATTCTGTCGCGCCACCAGTTCAACGAGCGCTCTGTGGCCGACCCACCAGTTCTTCGGCGCTCTTCGGTGCTCTTCGGCGCTCTTCGGCGCTCCGCCTCCAGCCGAGCGTCAGCCTGGTAAGCACGTCCGCAGTCATCCCCTTCCGCGCTCTCCTTCCCCATGACGGCGCTTCCTTGCGCTTCCTCGAGTTGTGCTTCCTCGGTTTCGTGTCTTTTTTTTTTTTTGTAAATATTTTCTGTGCCCCCTCCTCATCCTCCTGCACGTGTCTTTTTTTTTTTTTTTTTTTTTGAGGAAAAGTATATCGCTTCCTAATGCACAAATCGTGAAAATTGGGGGGTCGGTTAACCTTCTGTCTCCTGATGGGGTAAATCTTTAGATGCGGTGTCCTTCCCCCTTATTCCTACCCTCCTCGTTCTTCTCCTGGTCCTCCTGGCCCCTCTTCGGCGGCTACCGCTGTTGGTGCTGGTGCTGGTGCTGCTCGTTGTTGGTGTCCTCCTACATCTCCTGCTTCCGCCCCCGCTGTTGCTCAACCTCCTGTTCCACTCCCACCTACAGCTCCTCCTCCATCTTCTCCACCTCCACCTCCTCCTCCTCCACCTCCTTCACCTCCACCTCCACCTCCTCCCACCTCTTTGACCTCCTCCACCTCCTTCACCTCTTTGTCCTTCTCGTCCTCGATCCAAAGACGGCAAGTCGATCCGTGCACTACGAGAGGCAAGGAGAAAAAGAAGAAAGAACCTGCGGAAGACATACTGTATTTTGGTGAGAAAGCAACCTGAACGTTCCTTTCTGTAGCTGAGGAAAACGAAACTCTGCGTGCATGCATGCATGACTCTGTGCGTCCGTCCCCACAGGCGCGCACCCACACACAGGGACTCGCACACACGGACGGACGCACACACACACACACACACACACACACACACACACACACAAAGAGAGAGAGAGAGAGAGAGAGAGAGAGAGAGAGAGAGAGAGAGAGAGAGAGAGAGAGAGAGAGAGAGAGAGAGAGAGGTTTCAGGGGGCAGTCATCCATGCGCGAACAGAAACAGTGCCGTTCATCCGCCATCGTGGGTTTTTGGGCATCAGCGGGCGTTTTATTTTATTTTTTTCAAAAATTAAAATCTCGCACCAAACTGCCGAGATCATGGAGCCTCACTGATGGAAAAAGGATATAAACTGTCCGATGGTGGGGACCACCATTTAAAATATATAGGAAGGGAGTCTAAGTGGGTGCAGTAGAGAGACGGAACCCTTGACATATCGTCGGCTTGCTGTTATCCTCTTCGTCGATATTTCCATCCCTGCTCTCCTTCCTTACCCACGTAACCTCTCTTCCGCCGCCCCTCCGCCCCCCTTCGCCCCTTCGCCCCTCCGCCCCTCCGCCCCTCCGGCCCCCTTATATCATTTATGTCCTAGTATACGATTATTCGCCGTTCGTTGATTGCTGACGTGTCTCTTCCTCGGGTCTCCCCAAGATTCCCTCCCCGTGTCGCGATCTCCCCTCGCCAGTCTGCCCCTTTTGCCGCCTTTTCTTTGCCGCCGCTCCGGTCTTCCCTTCCTACCGCCTTTTCCCCGTCGCCTCCTCGATCTTCTTTTTTTTCCGCCTTTTCCCCGACGCCGCCCCGATCTCCCGCTTTTTCCCCGACTTTTTTCCCGCTTTTTTCCCGGCGGCGCCTCCCCGATCTTCCCTTTTTCCCACCTTTTCGTCGGCGCCGCCCCGATCTTCCTTTCCCCCCCGCCTTTCTGCAACGATGTCAAGCGAACTGTAGCTGCCCTTTGTCCCCTTCCTTCCTCTCTCTCCCTTCCTCCTTAACGATGGCTTTCACCTGTGTCCTTCCATGCTTGACCCCACATTAGAGGGTGGGTTGGCATGGTGTGAGGTTGATTATAAAAAAACTGTTACGTGGTGAGTTCTTGATAATGCATCCCCTTCATTTCATCCTCCCAAGTTTTTTTTTTTTTTTTACTTTTTTTAATTGCTCCACTACCTACAAGCTATTGCCTTCATTTCCTGATAATTATATCCTTCATTTCCTGACAATTGTACCCTTCATTTGCTGATAATTATACCCTTCACATCCTCATAATTATATCCTTCATTTCGTCTTTCGGTAAACTTCATTTCTGGATAACTATACCCTTGATTGGCTGATAATTATACCCTTCACTTGCTGATAATTATACCATTGATGTGCTGATAGTTATACCCTTGATTTGCTGAGAATTAAACCCTTCATTTCCTCATAATTATCATAATTATACCCTTCATTTCGTCTTTCGACAACATTCATTTCCTGCCGATTGACCTCTAATTATACCCTTCATTTGCTGATAATTATACCCTTCATTTGCTGATAATTATACCCTTCATTTCGTCTTTCGATAACCTTCATTTCCTGTTAATTATACCCTTGATGTGCTGATAATTACACCCCTCATTTCCTGATAATTGTACCCTTCATTGCGTCTTTCGATAACCTTCATTACCTGTTAATTATACTTCATTCCATCCTTCGCTTTAGCGGCTTTGGCTGCTCGTTTATTCCCTCTTCTTCTTTCTTTTCCCAGCCATTCGCCGGTAGTGACCTTTCTCTTCCTTCTGTTTGTACCTTGTCAACTTCGGTATTCTTATTTTTTGCCTCGAATTGTTTTATTTTCGTGCTTTCCCTCGTAAATAAATATTTGTCTTCCTTTCCTCTACATGTCTTTTCTCCCACTGCTTTCGACGATTATGTTCATGTTCCCTAATCTCAGAGAGCTTGGTTTCTATCACCCCCGGCCGTCTCAGTGATTGACTGATTGCATCGTCATCTTCCTGCTCTGTTTCATCACTCTTTAACGTGCTCCATCATCCTAATCATCATCATCATTATCTTTCTCATTATCGTTTATCCATCATCCTACATATCATCATCATCTAATCATCTAATCATCTAATCATCATCTAATCATCATCTAATCATCGTCTAATCATCATCGTTTTAATTATCATTCAAATCACTGTCATTCTTATCATCATCATCATCCCAATTACCACCGTCATCCTAATCATCATCATCACAACTATCACCGTCGTCCTAATGATCACCCTAATCATCGTAGTCATCATCGTCACCCTAATCATCATCATCATCATAATCATCCTGATCATCATCGTCAGCCTAATCATCCTCCTCTTCCTAATCATCATCATCATAGCCATGTAGATTATTGCTGTGTTCATTTCTCTTCCCGTTTATCAATCTGTCCGTCATCCCGCATTATTTCTACCGTCTTTCACCTACGCAACGCACTCTCATCACGTCCGTATCGGACCGGAAAATTAACTCGTATACATTCATGATCAGGGTGCGTAGTGTTCGGGGGAAGACGGGGTAGTGCCCGATCTACTGCATCGCCGTTTTCTACTATGCACATGGGGGCCACGTGACCATCTTCGGCGTGTTGTGCTTTTTTCTTGTCTACCTCCTCCTGTGTGTCATTCCTTCTCTCCTTTCTGTCTCGTAAAACTATCGTCGTCGTATTGTTTCCCTCCACGTCCGTCTCTTCCTCTCTTTACCACTCCTCTCCTTCTCTCCTCTCTCTCTCCTTCTCTCTCTTTCTCTCTCATCCTCGTTTCTCGTCTCACGCTCTTTCTCCATAGCACCTCTTTGCTCGTTCTCGTGCTTGCCGCATCTCTCCCTCCTCCTCTTCATCTCTTCCGAGCATATTCGGCA